TCGCCCTTGCTCGGGGGAACCTTGTCTAGGCTCGAGGCCACCTGTCAAAGGCCGTAAATCGTGCGGACCCCGGGTTGTGGGGGGTGGAAATGGGCGGCACCTGGGGCGGCGGCTCCCGGTCTTCTAGAACCTGCGATTCCAGAACACACCCTGGGCTAACCTCAGTGGGCCCGAGCGGAAGACGCCCGCCCTCCCGGCCTTCCAGACTGCTGGGTGGTCCGGGAGCCAGCCACTCGACCCTGGCTCCGCCTCTCAGGGTGTGTGGGCCTGCACGCGTGCCGCGCATCGCCCGGGCAACCGACGCTGTGCGCGGGGCATTGTGGTCTGCAACAAAATGCGGGAGAAAGATCCTGAGGGAACCATTGAATCCGCGGGCCAATAGGAAGAGGCGGGCGGCTACGCTCAGCCAATAGCGACGCGGGACGGGGGCGGGGCCGCGGGCGCAGGGCGGGGCCTAGGGATTAGGCGGCGGCGGCTGGCGTGGGGCTGCTTAGATGCGCCACGGCTTCGATAGCGACCGGCTGTCCTCTGCTGCTTGAGCGGCGCCAGCACCTTCCCTAGGAGCTCGCAGCAGCCGGCTGGCCCCTGCTCCACGGTGAGACCGGGTTCGGGTCCTCTCCAGCCCCTCGGGCCTGCGGTGCGAGCCGCGGGAGCTGCGCCTCGGAAGCGGGTGTTGGGGGGGGGGGGGACGCGTCGTCCTCGGGGGGGGGTCGGGAGGGCAAGCGAGCGCGGCCGGCACCCCGACCCTTCCCGTCTCCCCGCACCTCGTTCCCCACAGGTAACCATGTGCGACCGGAAGGCGGTGATCAAAAATGCAGACATGTCGGAAGAGATGCAACAGGACTCGGTGGAGTGCGCTACTCAGGCGTTGGAGAAGTACAACATAGAGAAGGATATTGCGGCCCATATCAAGAAGGTGAGGACCCGGCCCCTCATCGTTCCTTCTCCCCGATTCCGCCTTCCCCGGGACCCTGGCGGAGCTTCCCTGTGGTCCTCGGGGTGGCTCGGTGTGGAGAGTTCTAGAAAGGACGCAGATGGATTTCGCGTTCCTCTGGGGAAGACCAGACCCTTAGCGCTAGAAGTTTTTTTTTTTTTTTTAAACCCCCAGCTCCTTGGGGGAAAGCGCCACCTAGCAACGGTTTCCAAGATGAGGGAGCAGCGAGCAGTTCCCCCCACTGTAGGATTCCTGCGCCGAGGATCCATCTGGGTGTTCCGGAGGGGTGGGGGTGGGGGGGCGCGCCTGCGTGGGTGTTTCCAGCCGGGCTAGGAGGAGATCTTGCCAGCCTTACCAGCCCGGGAGTTGGTCGACAGTTCAGGGAAAAGTGGGTGGCAGTGGTGGTTGGGGGGCTTGGGTGGAGGGTTGGGTAAATGGCAATTTGTAGAGAGAGAGAAAGCTGCTGGCGAGACTGCCAACTTCTCGAGCTATGTTTGCTGGAAGGAAGCAGGGAGCCGTGGGAGGGTTCCAGTGGAGAACGGGAAGATGAAAGACTCGCGTGGAACAGAAATGAATACCTTTTTATAACAAACAGCGGTGTGTGCATCTGGATTGTGAGAGAGAGATTCTGCTTGATAAATGAGGTTTTCATACCGATTGCTGGATGAGATACTGGGAGCCCTAAAGAATTTTACATCATCTCTGGCCCTGGTTCTATCCAACTAGTGAGGAAATGAACACATTTCCAGTTGTGTCCATTGGGATGGGAGGTAGCAGATGCTCTCTGGAGGAGAGCGACTATAAAGGGTAAAGTCTGGGCACTTACTGTCAGATTCTGTTTAGCATTTATTTTTCAGCCCAGCTTGATTTAGATGGTAGTGAGACTTTGTCCTGGGGGGGGTACTGTCTCCCTGGATTTGGGGTGCATGGCAAATACAGCGAGAGTTTATCAGGAACAACCTGATAAGCAAGTGCTGGTGTCCTACTGCCATCGAATTGCTGAAGTCTGAGGTGAGCGAGCTGCAGCTGATGGGTCCTTTAGCCCCAGCTCTAGGAAAGCAGAGGCAGGCAGATGGCTTTGATCTGAGACCAAATCCAGACATACCGAGTTCCAGGGCAGTCAGGACTACATAAGACTATTGAAAACAGAAAAACGCCCAAAATCATCAAGAGGTGCAGTCACTGAAACAGAACTGCCCTTGAAAATGACCCTTCTACTTTTGATCTCCTCAGCTCCCATTCCCATTTTACCTCAGACTGCAAGCATGTTGCATTACTGTTCTAGGTGATTTAGAGCCAGGAAACATGGCTTCTAAGAACTTGCTGGGGTTGTGATAGAGCCCTTGCCCAGCCCAGTGTGGAGACAATTAGACGGCTCTGGCTTTTCTAGAAAGTGAATCCTCTGAATCTATCACTAAAATTCTGTTTTCTTCCCAGGAGTTTGACAAGAAGTACAACCCCACCTGGCACTGCATTGTGGGCCGGAACTTCGGTAGTTATGTGACACACGAAACCAAACACTTCATCTACTTCTACCTGGGTCAGGTGGCCATTCTTCTGTTCAAATCTGGTTAAAAGCATGGACTGTGCCAAACACCCAGTGATCCATCCAAAAACAAGGACTGCATCCTAAATTCCAAATACCAGAGACTGAATCTTCAGCCTTGCTAAGGGAACACCTCGTTTGAATCTGTTGTGTTTTGTACAGGGCATCATTCTCTGTACAAGTTTGTGGTTATAAAATTAGTAAAACAGCTAACATTTGTATTTATTTTCTAGTCCATACTTCTGTACCCCATTTTTTTTCTCCTTTAGGTCATTCCTTTAAAAATAAATCTGTTGGAGATGTATATGTCTCTGCTAGTTTGTTCAAGTAAGATAGGGTTGATGAAGCTTACCAGTTGATAAGTGACTGAGATGTGTCTGAGGACTACATGTTTTGTAGGATTAGACAGTTTAGTTCTCTTGATGAAATGTTTGGCAGGCCACACCTGTTATTCCAGCTTTATTTGGGTTATTAGCCACAGGTCTGAGGCCCCATTGCTGTCACTCAGGAGGCTAAGGAAGGAGTAGTGTAGGTTCTAGGCCAGCCTGGATTAGAGTACCTCAAGAGGTAGCTTGCTAGGCTGCTGCTTTCACTGGCTGTGCTCAGAAGTCAATTAGTAAATGTGAGGCACAGCTTCACTTAAGGACCTAATTAAAGCTGTGGGTCTGTAGTCACCAAGTTTCCCTATTGTCCGTTTAGAGCCACTGTGGCCTAAGGAGAAAGGCCCACATAGGAGGCTCTAGAAGGTAGAGGCTGAGGCAACCAACCCACACTTTAGGGAATCGCAAGGCTCCCTGTAGGGTTGCCTGCTTCCATTTTCTCAGGTTTTTGCTTTAGATGTAACTGAGACGTTTTGTTTTCAGAGTTTCCTCTGCGTAGCCCTGGCTGTTGTGATTTCTAAGAGTGGCAGATGCCTTTTTTTTGTTTGTTTTTTGAGACAGGGTTTCTCTGTGTATCTCTGGCTGTTCTGGAACTCACTCTGTAGACCAGGCTGTCCTCGAACTCAGAAGTCCACCTGCCTCTGCCTGTGGCAGATGCTTCTTACAGAGAGCATCAAGCTAGTTTACTCTTGGCAAGTTTTTCTATCCACTTGGTTAGACATTGTGTTTTGTTAGGGCCAGACTTGTGAAACTTTGCTGTTCATGTGGCAGTCAGGTTCTCTACGGTGTTGATTCTAAGATTAAGACTCAGCAAGTCTCTTCCACAGCCATCTTGCAAGCCTGTTTTTTTGTGACAGTCTTAGGAAGATGAGTCTGGTCTCAAACTACGTAATGGTTAAGGGTAACAAAACTAGTGCGTTTGTCCACCTGCCAAGTGCTGGGGTTGCAGATAGTAGGCACCCTCCTGATTGTTTGGCCATTTTGTGACAGCGACATGTGTGCCTTACTAGCTGCAGAAAAAATGGGGTACTTGTAGCCAGGTGAACACAGATAAGGCAATTCAGTTTATCTGAACAGGTAAAAGTTCATGGAGTCCCTCTCTCTCCTTATGACCTGACTCTTTGAAACCCAACAGGATTTTGGCCATCAAAGTGTAAATGACAGCCTCCAGCAGTAGTCCCTAGAGCAGATGCAAGGCTACATGCCTTGACACAGAGGGGTCTTTGATCAGACCCATGTTTACTGTCGGGAGCTGGTGATTTATTTTCAGGTTCAGATGTGAGAAAGCATTGCTATAGAAATAAGATTGGTTTGATAGTGTATGGAATTTCTCCCAGTGTCTGCTCCTCGTTAATTTAAAAGCCAGCAGGCTTGCTCCAGCTGATTGAAAAACTACAAAGTTGTCTAAGGTTTAGCATTTTCTCATAGTCTTCACTGCTGTTCTGAGACATCAGTAGCTAGCTTTAGGTGAGGTCTTGTGAGATCTATAACTGACCCCTAGTGTGCTGGGCCAAAAAGCAACATCTGAGGCCCTTTCAGAGAACCCTACTTTTTTAAACAAATGTTTGTATAAAACCTACTGGCATCAGCTTCCTGAGTGCTGGGATGAGAAGTGTGCACTGTCTCACCTGATTGGTTTCTGCAGTCTGTTAGTGTCGGGTTCAACATTCAAAGTCCCCCAATATCACAACGGGAGGGCAGTAAGGTGAAGCCCTGCCTGGGCCGTTCTTGGACCTGGAGGGATAGGCTATAGCGCAGTCATTTTTCTCTTTTAAGCTTCTCAGAGAAGTCTGAGCTCAACATGCAGTCCTAGCTGGCCTGGAACTTGCTCTGCAGGCTTGGCTCAGCTTGTGGCCGTCCTGAGTGCTGAGGTCGCAGTTTTGTGCCATCCAGGGCTCATAGTTATTTTAGATTTGTACTTAACTTTTTATGTATATCACTGTGTGTGTGTGTGTGTGTGTGTGTGTGCACAGTGCCCACCAGGTCAAAAGGGGGCATTGGATTCCCCAGTTACAGACAGTTGTAGATCACTGTGTAAATGCTGGGAACCGAGGATGGCAGAGGATGGCGTCTCTGCCAAGCAGTGATGATAGGACGCAGACATTTGTGTCACCTCTTCCAAGAAAGAGTAACAACCACACCCAAATTGTAAACTTTACTGCTTCACAGATTCCTACTTCTGTTTGCTTGCTTCTGGTGAGCACCAAACCCAGGGCCTCAACTTGCCAAGCACATGCTCCACTGAGCTGTACCCACAGCCCCAGACCTCAGGCGCTCACCACTGAGCACCTCCCGGGTTGGGGTGCTGACACTCAGCATTCTGACGTGGACCGTGGCTTTTGGTTCAGATTCTCCCTGGAGTCCAGAGATCCATTATCGCTCTAGAATACATCTGTCCTAGAGAAGCTACGAGGAAGCTTCAAACCTGCATCCGTGTTGGTTTTACCCGACTCCCACACTGCACAGCTAAGCCTTAGCAGGAATCCAGCAAAAACCAGGCCAGACGCTTCTGGGAAAAGGCCTCAGCAGCCTGGGCAGCTACTAATGAGAGCTGCAAAAGAGGCAGTTATCTGTCTCTTCCTTTTTGAGACTGGTCAATGCAGAACATGAATCCAAGGTTTCATGGCCTTAAGGAGACGGATGCTCAGCTCCTGTCTCATCAGGGAGATGACCTTCCAGCCCCGCCGGGGCTTCAGTAGAAATGACAGGCCTGTGCCCCTCCATGGAGAAGGAGCTAGAGCTTGAAGCCAGAGTGAATGGCCACGACCCCTGTAGTCAGGTTCTCGTAAGTCACCTTCTGAAAGCCTGCGTCCTCAATCATGGCCTTGAACTCTTCCTGAAACACAAGAAAAGACACATGGGATGGGATGCCTGGGGTTCACCTTCGGGGACTCTGCTGTAAGTCACAAAAGCTTTCTTTGTACCTGATTTGGGAACTTGCGAATGCTTTCTACAAGGTACTGGTAGGACTTCCAGTCTCCTGCAATGACCTCACCAATGACAGGGATGACCTGGAAGCTGTACAGATCATAAAGCCTTAAAAAAAAAAAAAAAGATTTAGAGCAGGTTCTAGGCTTACTCCCTAGCTACTCCACCAATACCAAGGAAAAGTGTGTTTGTGGGTGGAGTAGCCTGGTCTACAGATGGAGTTTCAAGACAGCCAAAGCTACACAGAGAAACCCTGTCTCCTGGGGGGTGGGGGAGGACTAATGAGGTCGAGTCCATCCCTTCACGGTGATCAGGCCACCGTAGGTAAGGCAGGGGTCACTGACTCAGATGTCTGCAGTGGTCAAGCAAGTGACTGAAACAAGGTAAGTAGGCCAAGAGTGAGGCTGAGAGGCCCATGGCGTGAGACATGGAAAACTGGAGGAGTGGCAGCTAACCCTGTCTCTGACACCTGCACGGGGATCCTCTGACACCTGCACGGAGGATCCCCTGACACCTGCACGGAGGATCCCCTGACACCTGCACGGGGGATCTGCTCTATCAAGCTTCTGACGTCTGATTTTTCCAAGGAAGTTGGAAATCAATTTCCTGATTTTAAGTTTTTGGTTGGCCAGTGGGTTTGAGACAGTCTTATTCTATAAACTAACAAGGCCTGGAACTCATTATATAGGCCAGGCAAGTGCTGAACTGGAGGTAATCCTCCTGCCTCAGCCTCCTGAGTAGGCCTGTGGGTACAAGCTGAGGCTCTTCTGGCCTACACATTTCCACCTGGGACTGGCTGAGCTCTGAAGATAGCCCTTCCTTTGGGGACTCTCAACTCACAGTCAGCGGCTGTGGCTCACTGACTAACTCCTCTCCACTCTGGGGTGGGGAGCCCTTTGTAGATACGTTTATAAATCCCTGTCACCGGTGCTAACCTGGAGATGAGGGGGTCAGTCACTTGGCTAAACTCCAGACAGAGAAACCGTCCTCCTGGCTTTAGGACCCGTCGGGCTTCCTGGAGAGCCTGGGAGAGAGAGCGAGAAGAGAAGCCTCAGCAGGCCTCTCCTTGATCCCAAGAGGCAGAGGCTGGCTTAGTTTCTATGTGCATCACAAACACTCCTCATAAACTCCCTTTACATCCTTAGGAGTTACAGTGCGGATGGTACCCACATCACAGGCCACTGCGGCCCATGAGCAGAGACAGTTGCTGAGCCGGACAGGGCACAGTTCCATGAGGACAGAGCTTAGAAGTACGGGTCACACCTCTTCCAAAAGCTCTCTACGTGTGGGTGCTGTGCCTGCATGCCTGTGCACCCCTCGTGTGTGTGGTATGTGCAGAGGCCGGGACAGAGCATCATATTCCCTGGAGCCTCAGCTGGAGACAGGTGTGACCTGCTATAGGAAGGGAACCTGGGTCCTCAGGGAAGAGCAGCCGCTGAGCCATCTCTCCAGACTCCAATGGAACAGCTTTAATTAAAGGAATCTATCTGACAGAAAATGACATGTATGTTGATAATTCATGTTATTCTTTTGTTTGTTTTTGAGACAGGGTTTCTTTGTTTAGTTCTGGTTGTCTGGAAACGCATACAATAGACCAGACTGTATTTGAACTCACAGAGATCCACCTGCCTCTGTCTCCTAAGTGCTGGGATTAAAGGTGTGCGTTACCACTGCCAAGAGTTTTATGTAATAATATGGAGGAAAATCACCATGGGAGTCTGACCAATGGGCCAGGCCTGTAACCACAGCTGCTTGGGAGACTGAGCACAGAGGATTCTAAATTTAAGGCCAGTCGGGGTTATAGGGCGAGTTAAGACCAGGTTAACTTAATGAGATTGTTAATAACATGTATGAAAGCCCTGAGTTTACTCTTATGTATACAGACATACACAATCACTGGTGTGTGTGTGTGTGTGTTTAGGATGCCAGAGACTGATATCAGGGCCTTGCACATGCTAGACAAATATTCTACCACTTGGCTGAAGCCCTGGTACACATCCGGCCTTTTCCTTAGTACACAGTTACTTGAGACAAGGTCTCACTGTGCAGCCCTACCTGGCCTAGAGCTCACTGTATAGACCAACCTAGCATCAAAGTCACAGAGATCTGCCTATCTTGCCTCCTGATCAAATTTAAGTTAAAATTGCAATGGACAGGGTGTGAGGAGCCACGCTATAGGCCCAGCACTCTGGGACCCAGGGCAGCATGTGGGCAAGGTCAGCGTCAGTTGCTTATTGAATGCAAGTATGCTCTGGGTACATGAGATCCTGTCTAAAAAGCAAAAGCAGTATGATGGAGGAATGTTTAGCATGATACTACTCCCATTAAAGAGGAAGAAAGTTAGAACCCGGAGGTGGCTCAGTAGCAAATGTGCTTCTGGATATTAAGGCTCTAAGGTCGGATCCTTTAGGCGCTAGCAGGAGAGACACAGACGGGGGATTCTTGGGTAGGAGCTAGCAGGAGAGACAGAGACGGGGGATTCTTGGGTAGGAGCTAGCAGGAGAGACACAGACGGGGGATTCTTGGGTAGGCGCTAGCAGGAGAGACAGAGACGGGGGATTTTTGGGCTCACTGGCAGCTGAGTAGGCTAAAAGCAGTGGGTGACCTGGTTAAGTGACAGACTTATCTCAAAAAATAAGGTGAAGGTGGCAGTGAGACAGATGGCTGAACGGAAAAAGACACAAGCCCGGCCACCTTCAGTTGGACCCCTGGAACCAGGGAAAGGTTCTCTATCCTGTGCCCTCCACACGTGTGCCACGGTGTTACTCCACCCAGCCACAACCACACCCGCACCCTCACAGGTAGATACATACACACAGAGACACACTCACTCATACATACACCCACACTCACACCCACAGATACACACACACATTCTCTCACACTCACAGAGATTCACATCAGAGACACACACAGAAACACACAGACACACAGATACACACACACACACACACACACACACACACACAAAATCACTCCACAGCTGGTCATGACAGAGGCACAGGACTGCATCCGCAGCATGTAGGGAAAGCAGAAGTAAAAACAACTCGGGATTGAGGCCAGGCTGGACCATGTCACATCTTCCAAACAAAACAACACCCCCTACCCTGTACTTTATGTTTCCTTCGAATTTGCTATCCGGCTGAGGCTGGCCTTGTGGACTGACCCTCCTGCGTGTGTAGCAATCACGTAACTGGAAGCCGTCTCCCTACCCCTCCAGAGCATTGGGACGACAGGAACACACCACCACGCCTGACTGTAACAGGCACAGAACATCGCTACAAAGACACACAGGAACTGGGCACAGAACAGCTGGAGATAGGGGTGGGAGAGAAGTGCTCAATGACACATTCTTCAACTTCCATCCTACTCAAAAAGTATTTCAATTTAGTCTTCCTTTCTTGTTTTTGAGTCTTGTCCCTGTCCCTGGCTGTGGGCTGAGAAGTCATCACAGAGACCCCTGTGGCCTTGAACTTGCAATGATCCTTCTGCTTCTGTCTCCTGAGCGACGGACCACAGGTGTGAGGCACAACTGGCAAAAGACATGTTTCAGTCAGAATGATGACTAAACTGTCTATAGATGCAGGAAGGCCATAAAACCAGGCCGCACAGTGTGGTGCTGGCTGCCCTGCGCTGCAACAAGCTGCCGCACAGTAACTCAAAGACAAAGGCTTGTTTGGGCTTACAGTCCTGTGGGCTCCAGGCTGATGAGTGGACCTTTGCTTTCACACTCAGGTGAAGACTCGCAGAATGGGTCTACCAAGCAGAGCAAACTGCTGGCCTCGGAGCCAAGAAGCAACAAAGACTGCTTTTGCTTTGTGTCTTTGAGACAAGGTCTCATACAAGCACTCCATGCATTCACTCCCAGCAGTCTGGAACCAGAAGCAGGTGATCTGTGTGGTGAGTCTGAGGACACGGGGTTACAGAGTGAGACCTTCTCTCGGAAACAAACAGCAGCAAAGCTAGGCTCCGGCTATATAATCTGGACTCAGTCTGGGACTCACTCAGCCTCCCAGATCCTGCAGTTGTAGGCATATCCCGTCCTGTCTGGCTTAGAACAACTACACCCTAGCAAATGATCAAACCCACAGATGGGGTTCCAAAGCCCTCTGATCTGTAGCCAGTGAGAAATTGATATCTGAACTGGAGGGGAGTTTAGTGGACGGAGCCCTTAGCCTGGAGGAGGAATGCTTGTAAATCCAGATAGCTAGTGTCAACTGGAGGGCACTCAGTGGGTCGGCTGTGTGCAGAGAAGTCTGCGGTGTGGGAAGACCCCACAAGACTGGTGTCAGACACAGCACAGAATGTGGAAAGACATAAACTTTCCCACTATATAAAAAAGAGGTAATCATTTACAGGATTAATTTGTACAGCATATTCAATTCAGAAAAGAGGGTTTTTTTTTTTAAGTCTTAGTTTTAATTTTTTAAGCTGGATGTGGTAGCCTGTGTCTATAACTCTAGCATTTGTGAAACTAAACAGAATTGCCGCAAGTTTAAAGATAGCCCAGGCTATACAGCAAGTTTCAGGCCAGTCTGAGCTACACAGCGAGTTCCAGGTTAGAGACCCAGCTTCAAAAGAACAAAAAGGATTTTTTTTTTGTCTTTTGTTTGTTTTTGTAGACAGGATATTGTTACATAGATCTTGCTGGCCTGGAAGTCACTGTGTAGAGCAGGTCTCAAACTGAACCCTCTTGCCTTTGCATTGTTGAGACTATAGCCGTGAGCCACCACACCTGCCTACACAGTACTTTTTTTTTAATTAAAAAAATTATGCCGGGCAGTGGTGGTGCATGCCTTTAATCCCAGCACTTGGGAGGCAGAGGCAGGTGGATTTCTGAGTTTGAGGCCAGCCTGGTCTACAGAGTGAATTCCAGGACAGCCAGGAATACACAGAGAAACTATGTCTTGAAAAACAAACAAACAAACAAACAAACAAACAAACTAGATAGATAGATAGATAGATAGATAGATAGATAGACAGACAGATAACTGAGCACCTTTGATCCCAGCCCGGGGGGAGGCAGGTGCATCTCTGAACTCAAGGCCAGTTTGGTCTAAACAGTAAGTCACAGACAGTAAGTTCCCTGCCCTATCGTTAGGCTGCTTCCTGCTGATTAGGGGCATCAAGTTCCTTGGGACAAGTTTGATCTTCACAATCAGGACATCTGATTCCTTATTTATTTTTTTATTTTTTATTTTTTTTTATTTTTTTTTTATTTTATTTTTTTTTTTGGTTTTTCGAGACAGGGTTTCTCTGTGTAGCCCTGGCTGTCCTGGAACTCACTCTGTAGACCAGGCTGGCCTCGAACTCAGAAATCCGCCTGCCTCTGCCTCCCAAGTGCTGGGATTAAAGGCGTGCGCCACCACTGCCCGGCTTATTTTTTATATTTTTTAAGATTTATTTATTGTATATGAGTGAGTACACTGTAGCTGTCTTCAGACACACCAGAAGAAGACATCAGATCCCATTACAGATGGTTGTGAGCCACCATGTGGTTGCTGGGAATTGAACTCAGGACCTCTGGAAGAGCAGTCTGTGCTTTTACCCTCTGAGCCATCTCTCCAGCCCCCTATTTTTTATTTTTTTGCACACACCTACTTAATAACTCACAACGAATGACCCAACCTGCCTTTGGGGAACTAGCATTTATATATCCTCTGAAAAGTCAGCAGAATTCCAAACATCACTCCATTGCAGAAACTATGTGCAGCTGGCAGAATCACTCCCCTCCTAGGGCACGAGGCAAATCACAGTCAGCTGCTGTGAACAATACGAAGCAGCCCATATTCCACATCAGGGATTAAAATGAAAACACATTCTTGTATTATTTCTGTGTTTTTCTTTTTTCTTTTTTTTTGGTTTTTCGAGACAGGGTTTCTCTGTGTAGCCCTGGCTGTCCTGGAACTCACTCTGTAGAGCAGGCTGGCCTCGAACTCAGAAACCTGCCTGCCTCTGCCTCCCAAGTGCTGGGAGTAAAGGCGCCACCACCGCTCGGCTATTTCTGTTTTTCAAATAAACCAAATTCTCACTACATGTAAGAGATTTCCTTCTGCCTTGTATGTCCTGGGGACTGAACTGAGGTTGTTAAGTTTGGTAGCAAGTGCATTTACCCTGCTAGCTCGCTCATTCTGGTTCATTTACTCTTCAAGACAGGGTATCTCAGGGTATCCTGGCTGTCCTGGAGCTCACAGAGATCTGCCTGCCCCTGCCTCCTAAGTTCTGGGATTAAAGGCTACCCTGATCTTTTGATCTGATTCCAAGTTCTATAGAGAGTGGGAAACAGGTGACAGAAAGGAAAGTAAGGGAAAGATAGGAAAACAAAACAAACAGGGAGGGAGGGAGAGAGGAGAGGGGGGAGGCCCCCATACCCCCAGGAGGCGTGCATACACTCAACTGACCTATGGGGTTCCTGTAAGGCTCCACCTAAAGTTCCACAGACCCTTTCAACAGTGTTACCCTGAGGTCTTTTGAGAAGTACTACCTGTATTCAAACCAGAGCAATTGCTACAAACAGTGTTCCACCCGAAAGTCAGACTATGGGAGCCCACATCACAAAGCCAGTGGCAGATGGACAGAAGAGGCAGAAGGTTCAGGTAGAATTAACAAGCTGAATCCTTTTAAAAAAAGAACATTCCCTTCTTGCTGTAGAGGAGCCATGATATTCCCTTCTGCCTTAACGAATCTGTGCGCCCTTTCCTGTGTCTGATCATGCCTCTGACCTGCAGACTCACATAGCTTCCCGAGAGGAAACAGGAAGTGCCCCAGCAGGCCCAATCCCCCAGAGAATGTAGACACCAACCTGAGCAAACCAAGAATTGTTCTGTGATTCTGGCTTAATTTCCAGACTAAAACACCTGGTAACTCAGAAAAACGAGACATGCCAGGCGGTGTCTACACTTGGAGGCGGAGGAGCTGGATTTCTGAGTTTGAGGCCAGCCTGGTCTACTGAAGGAGTTCCAAGGAAGACAGGGCTACACAGAGAAACCCTGTCTCAAGGGGAAAAATGAGGAAGGAGGAGGAAGAAGGAAGGGAGGAGGAGGAAGTAGAGGAAGAAGAAGGAAGGAGGAAGAAGGAGAAGGGAAAGAAGAAGAGGAGGAAGGAAGAAGGGAAGGAAAGGAAAGGAAAAGAAAGACCTAACTCTCTAGACCCAGAGAGACGGCTTAGTACTTAAAGCACTCACTGCTCATGCAGGGGACCCAGGTTCGAATCCCTAGCACCCATAGCAGATGGCTTTTAAGTGCCTGTAACTCCAGCTCCAGAAGTCCCAACACCCTCTGGTCCCCAAAGGTACTGCGTACACAAGGTGCACATAGACTCACACAGGCTCACGTACATCAGTGAAAATTATGTGTATATTTAAAAGAGAAGAGGGCTATGGAGATAGCTCAGTGCGTAAGAGCACTTGCTGTGGGGTAAGAGGACCTAAGTTCAAATCCACAGCACCTATGTAGAAGCCATGCTTCACAGGGCCAGCATAGCAGCACCCTGCCACACACACACACACATGCACACGCGTGCACACACACACATCACAACTAAATACACTGAGGACGAGGACGAGGAGAAAGAGACCTCTAAGCTTAAAATAGTCATTCCCCTTAAGTACTGGGCTCAGAAAAGACTTTTCTCTGTCCTCAGTTGAGGTAGGTCCACCCCAGGGACACCATTGTCCTCAAAGTCCCAGAAGCTGAGCACACAGCTCTTCATACCCGGTCAATGTGGGTGACATTCCGGATCCCAAACGCAATGGTGTAAACATCAAATCTGTCATCGTCAAAGGGTAGTTCCTCAGCGTCTCCCAGCACCCACGCAAGTCCTGGAAGACAAAAGCCGCGCTGGGGTACAGAGGTATGCTAGGTAGCTGTTTCCCGTGTCCCAGAGGAGTAAATCTGAGGCTTTGTGGTATGTATGCCAAATAAAAGGTAAGTGCCCTAGGCACCAATGTGGTAGGGACGGTCCAGTGACATGCAGCCCCTGATGCAGGGTCTGGGTAATGTCAGAAGTGAAGTGAAGGAGAATTTGAGGACTGCTTACTGCTGTGGGGACCATGGGTGTCGTGGGGACCATGGGTGTTGTCATGAGGACCATGGGTGTAGTGTCATGGGGACCATGGACTTCGTCAGAAGGTGTGACACACCTGCCTTCTTCACTGTACTCCTGTCGCCTTCACTGCCATCCTCCAATTTTGAGACCTAACTTATTTGGGGACAGTTACCTACTGGGGACAAACTCTGGCACGCTGTCCTGGGCAAACGGTGCCCCTGAGCTGCACATCTACCCTACCCTAAGCAATTCCCCAACCAGGCGCTTCACGGTCAGCACTGTGCTGAGAGGCAGGGCCTTAGGGTTTCAGACTACTTTCACCGACTGTTAGTTAGGTCCTTTACTTTAGTTGGGGGCGGGGCATCAAACCCAGAGCCTCACGTACATTACGAGAGCATTCTGCCGCTAAACCACAGTCCCAGCCCTGTGACAGACTCAAAAAATACTGTTGGTTTTGGTTTCTTACTTATCTATGTGTCTACCACACGTGTGGTAGAGGCCTAGGCCTAGACAGACCAGAGGAGGTCACTGGTACCTCTGGAGCTGGAGTTACAAACTGCCCAGCATGGGTGCTGGCCCCTGAGCTCAGGTCCTCTGGAGGAGCAGGAAGAGCTTCTAGTCACTGAACCATTACTCCAGTCCCTGTTTCCATCTAGCTGTAAAATGGAAATCAACTGGAAGTTTTCAGTCAGTGACTAGTACAGAATTTAGCACGGGCCTATTTCTACAGCTGCTGTCAGACAAATCCCCACCCACGGATTCTTCTTCTTCTTTTTTTTTTTTGGTTTGGTTTTTGAGACAAGGTTTCTCTGTGTAGCCCTGGCTGTCCTGGAACTCACTCTGTAGACCAGGCTGGCCTTGAACTCAGAGATATGCCTGCTTCTGCCTCCCAAGTGCTGGAATTAAAGGCGTGCGCCACCACTGCCCGGCTCCCACCCACGGATTCTATGTTGAAAATATCTGAAGAGGGGCGAGGCCGAGGATGACTCAGTTGATAAGATTAGTTGTTGCTCTTGCAGAGGACCTGGGTTCAACTCCCAGCACCAACAAGATGGTCGCAAACACCTGTAACTCCAGTTCTAGGAAATCTAACACCCTTTTCTGACCTCTTTAGGCACCAGACATGTGCTCAGCGCACAAACATACATCCAAGCAAAACATATATATATAAAACAAAATAAGTCATTAAAAAAGAAAACACAGCCGGGTGGAGGTGCCGCGTGCCTTTAATCCCAGCACTTGGGAGGCAGAGGCAGGTGGATTTCTGAGTTCGAGGCCAGCCTGGTCTACAGAGTGAGTTTCAGGACAGCCAGAACTACACAGAGAAACCCTGTCTTGAAAAACAAAACAAAACAAAAACAAAACAAAAACAAAAAAAGAAAGAAAGGAAGGAAGGAAGAAAGAAAGAAAAAAGAAAAGAAAACACATAACTAGGTTAAAGTGTTAAAGGCTCAGAGGTAGAATGGATAGTCAGTGTGCGTATGGGTTCAGCCCGTAGCATCAACTCTGAGATGCCAGTAAGACAGACCCTTGTTGGGAGCAGATTTATACGAAGCTGAGAATGACCTTGAACTTCTGGTCTTCCTGAGTGATAGGGTTATGGGCATGTGCCTCTACCAGCTTGCAGGAATCCTCCTGCCTCCACTCTCTGAGTGCTGGGATTATACATGGATGCCACTATTTGCACCTCCAGCTCTCTTCTAACTTTTCATTTTGGGATGAATTTAATGAAATTGTCCAAGGCTGACCAGGAACTCACTCACTCAAGCCCAGGCTGCCCTGGAGTTTTTGATTCTCCTGTCTCAGCCTCCAAAATATCTGGGATTACGGGCCTGCATCACTGGCTTGATTCTGAGTTCAGAAACTGTAGATTCTTATCAACATAACTGTTCCTGAAGGATGTGGGGTTGGAGCTCAGTGATTAACTAAGGCCAGCAAGACACTCAGCAGAAAAGGGGTTATCATCACGACGCTGAGTCTGACCCCAGGAAACGACACAGTGGAAGGAGAGAACCATGTCTCATGTAACTGTTCTGTGACCTCCACAAAAACATGTTTGTGCACACACAGACACACACAGGTACAGACAGACACACAAAACAGCCAAATTAATGTAAAAGACCCTACCGCTGCCACATAAATGTCACAGGAGGCTACTGTTTGGTCTAAGCTCCTGCACTGGGTCGCAGGAGACCAAACTGAAAATCACTATGGAATTCTCACGTTCAAGTTCCTGCATGCACAAGGAAAGTAACCTATGAAACCAGACAGAGAGCTGAGGACTAACCAGCTTCCTCTGACTTGAAACCTTACAGAAGGAAAGTCACAGCCGGAAAGGCCTGCAGCTGACCAGTGTCTGCCCTTCCAGACTCATCTGCAGACTGCAACTCTGCAACAGCCAACCAGTTCTTGATTCTTCCCCTTCTGTTTTCTCTAGTCGTTACTTTTTTATAAAACCAACCTCCAGGGGCTGGTGAGACGGCCTGGTGGTTAAGCATACTGGCTGATCTTCCAGAGGACTCGGGTTCAATTCCCGGCATCCACATGGCAGCTCACAACTGTCTGTAGCTCTAATTCCAGGAGCTATAGCATCCTCACAGGCACTGATGTAGGCAAAACACCAGTGCACATAAAATACAAAAATAAATAAAACCTTCTTTGTTTGGTCGTTGAAAGTCTAGGCTGGAGCCAGGCGGTGGTAGTACACGCCTTTAATCCCAGCACTTGGGAGGCGGAGACAGGCGGATTTCTGAGTTCGAGGCCAGCCTGGTCTACAGAGTGAGTTCCAGGACAGCCAGGACTACACAGAGAAACCCTGTCTCGAAAAACCAAAAAAACAAAACAAAAACAAAAAGACGAAAAAAAAAAAGAAAGTCTAGGCTAGTCTTGAACTCACAGAGACCCACCTGCCCCTGCTCCTAAGGGCTCTGATGGCACTAATGCAGCACCGTGCTTGGACCGGAAGCCATGTTGAGTCTGTGTCTAATGGTTCTATGTTGAGTAATGTTAACAAAGGACAGACTCCAACCGCTTAGCTGAGAGGTTTGGCTGAGTTTGTTTTTTATGTGCACATGTGCTAGCCTGAGTGTGGGTAAGCGCATCCCACATGCAGAGGAGCCCACACGGTCAGGACAGGGTCCTGGAGACCCTGGAACTGGAGCTGTAGGCAGCTGTAAGCTGCCCTTTTGGGTGCTGCACTGCAAGAGTAGTATGCTCTTTAAAACCATTCAGAGGTAGGACTGATTACCAGGTCCTCCAAGCCAGCCTGACCTGCTAGCCTGGGTGATGTGACATCCTGTCTCAAACAACAGCTTCCTAAGCTGGTTCATAGCTACGCCATGGAAGAGATGGTTTTAGAAAGGGAACATTACCTGTCATTGACTGTTCTCACTCCTTACAGCCGACACCAGCGAAGGGAAATACATTTGTCAGCAGGAGTAAGACACACGGTGCCTTTGTCTAGAGACTGCCTTCTGACTAGTCCTTCATCAAAGGACTGACAAAGAGTCCTTCATCATGAAGGCCAAGTGGGCGGTAGTTGTCCAGGCAGCTCCTTCCTCGTGTGTGAGGAGGAGGGAGACAATAATCGGCCTAAATAACCAAACATTCCTGGGGGGATCGGGGAGAAATGCTGACGCTGCCCAGAGGACTTTTTGTGCCGCCCTGTCTGTCTGTCTGCCGGCACTGCCTTGCCAGTGTGGAAGAGTCTGTCCAGCGGCTGCATCAAGACAGCATCTGCATCTGACAGCGGCTGTGTCAAGAGGGCGCCACATCCAGCATCACTGGTGATCTTGCAAATATTAAGGGCAAGCTTCTGTTGTAGCTTGTTTAAGATGGTCTCACTACATGGCCTGGACTAGCTTAAAACATACGATGTAGACCAGGCTGGCCTCAAACTCACAGAGATCTACCTGGTTTTGCCTCCCAAGTTCTGGGATTAAAAGTACGCACCACCACAGCTAGGGAAAGCATTCTGAGCTATTCAATGGCCGGATGTAAAATCAGTGGTAGCACTGCCCGTACTCGCAAGACCCTGAGTTCAGTCCCTAGGACTGGAAAAACATTTTAAAAGAAAGAAAAAGAAAACTGGATGACTTCAGAAGATCCTGCTATGAGTTCAAGGTCAGCCTGATCTACAGAGTAAGGCCCGGGCTAGCCAAGGCTACATATTCAGTTAAGATCCTGTCCCAAAACAAAACAAACAAGAAAAAAACCAAACAATTTGACAAATAAGACTCTTTGGACTAGTGAGAGGGCTCGGTGGGTAACGGTGACTGCTGCCAACCCTGAAGACATGTGTCTGATCCCCAGAACCAACTCCCACAAGTTGTCCTCTGGCCTCCACAGGAGTGCTACAGCACCAGCATAATTCTCCCCTGTCTCCATGAAATAAAAACTATAACTAAAGAATTAACAATGGCTGGAGAGATGGCTCAGCAGATAAGAGCACAGCTGCTCTTCCAGATTACTGAGTTTGAGTTCCAACTTCCAGTTGGCTTACAGTCATCTGTAACTCAGGTCTAAGAGACCTGATGGCCGCTCTGGCCTCTGTAGGCACCAGGCCCCTCATCCTCATGCTGCAGAGACATGTATGTGAGGTAAACACTACACACATTTAAAACATTATAACAAGAAAGAGAGCTGTAAGCTCTGTGGGCCACGCAACACCGTCGGTCAAGCTCAGCGTGCCGATCAAATTCTGGAGCACGCCTGTGAGCTGTGCTAAGTACACACGCCATCTTCAGCCGCTGCTGACTGTTCACACTTCCAGAAGCTGGAACACTCAACAGTTCCACACCCAATGGGTACCCCTTACTCTACACACGCAGACATTGCCTGTGTCCGCCCAGGGACTCACCAGCTGTGCGCCCTCACTCTATACACACACAGACACTGCCTGTGTCTGCCCAGACACTCACCAGCTGTGCGCCCTCACTCTACACACAGACACTGCCTGTGTCTGCCCAGACACTCACCAGCTGTGTGCCCTCACTCTACACACACAGACACTGCCTGTGTCTGCCCAGGGACTCACCAGCTGTGCGCCCTCACTCTACACACAGACACTGCCTGTGTCTGCCCAGGGACTCACCAGCTGTGCGCCCTCACTCTACACACACAGACACTGCCTGTGTCTGCCCAGGGACTCACCAGCTGTGCGCCCTCACTCTATACACACAGAAGACACTGCCTGTGTCTGCCCAGGGACTCACCAGCTGTGTGCCCTTGGTCCACGGCTTTCTGTTTCCCAACCTTTAGCATCTCCCTGTTGATGTCACAGACCACGACAAGCGAACCTCCCAAGGGATCCTCTTTACTCTGGTACTTTTTGGCAATTTCTTCCCAGGATAAGTTCTGCTGCGTCTTCAACTGTCTCCTCTGTCTCCTCTGATGCTGTGCCTGAACGTAACTAAGGAACCGGAATGCGATGTCACCTGCGGGAAGTCAACAGGAGAGATATAAACGTAACTAAGCAAACAGTCTCCTGAGCCCCTAAGAGCAAAAGAGGCAAAGAGGGGATACACTCGAGGATGGATGTTTCTACCTTTCAGCAGAGACCACCTTCCTTCCCTCCCTTCCTTTTCCCCTTCATTTCTTCCTTCCTTTCTTCCATTTTTTTGGCCATGAGTTCACTCTGTAGCAAAGGATGATTTTGGACACCTCCAGGTCCTGGTGTGTCCACTCCCTGAGTACTGAGTACTGGGTTATATGTGTACCTCACACTAGTGCTTACAATAATTTTCATATAAGGACTACAGGCGGGTGGGACTCAGTTGGGGAGTGCTTGACTAGGACACACACAGTTTGGGGCTCTGTGCCCAGCATGCTTATACCAAGCCTGTAGTTGCAGGCCTGTAATCCTAGCTCTTGGGAGGTGGAGGGAAGGGGATCAGGCACATCTCAAATATATGACTTTCAAGTCAGCATGAGACCCATCTCAGAAAAACCAAACAGAACAAAAAACCATGCCAGCTTGGTCTACAAAGCAAGTGCAGGGCAGCCAGGGCTGATTACACAGAGAAACCCTGTCTCTAAAAACAAAACCAAAAGATCATGTGCCTTAATCCCACTACTTGGGAGGGAGGCAGGTGGACCTTTGAGTCCTGCCTGATCTATGTACAAAGCTCTAGGCTAGCCACGGCAACGCAGTAAGACTCTAGCTCTAAAAACCAAGAAGCCAACGTTTATAAAAGTAACATAAGCAGTAAGAGACGGCTCTGTCTCTGCAGGTTACACACCCACAGACTCAGCTATGGATTGCTGTGCATCAAACCCTCGGGCTCTGTCATCATTCCTAAGCCATCAACCAAGGGTCTGAAGAATGAGCCTAGGTAAACGTTCCTCTGCCGAGCACACCTCAGCCCCAAGCATGTATTCTATTACTTGGTTGTTGCTGCTGTTTTGTGTTACAGATGGGGGCTCACGTAGCCTAGGCTGTCTCTAAGTTTGCTACGTAGCGATGGCAATTTGTTTCTAAGGCCTACACCTTCTGAAGACTAGGATTCTAAGTGTGTACTTCAGGCAGTGGTGGCACGTGCCTTTGACCCCAGTGCTTGGCGGCAGAGGCAGTTGGATCTCTGGATTGAGGCTAGCATGGTTTACAAAGCAAGTTCCAAGACAGCCAGGGCTACTTGGTGAGACCCTGTCTCAGTATGTACTCTTGAGCACTGAGCCACCCCCTCAGCCTCTGGTGTTTGAGGCAGGGTCTTGATCTATAGCCCAGTCTGGCTTCACAGGTTCCACAGCCTAGAATCCAGCCTGGCTTTGAATTTACTTGAATCCTCCTGCCTCAGGCTCCTAAATGCTGGGATTAAAGGCTTTCTGACACATACTTTCTTAACACTTTTCTCCCAGATACTTGGTGTGCAACAGGAAACAAAGACCTACAATATGTTCTGAAACCTGATGTGGGAGTGGATTGATTGGACAAGAAGGTAGCTTATGTCCTAACTAGCTGATGTCATGTGAGAAAAGGCTTCTCTCCAAACAGAAGGAAAGTAGATTAAAGGCCAAATGGAAGATAGAACAGGATGGGGCAGAGCGCCATGACACAGCACTTAGCTACAGTATTTGTGAAGCCCTGGGTTTACTCCCCAGCATCGAGGAGGGGGGAAAATGGGGAGAAAACCCAAGCTGGGCATGATGTCCTAGGTCTGTAATCCCAGCACCTGAGAGACAGAGGCAGGAGGATAGCAGGTGGCAGGGAGCTGCAAGGCCAGCTTGGATTATTACACAGTGAGTTTAAAGCCAGCTAAGACCACATAGTCTCGAACAACACAAAACAACGAAAACAGGAACAGCAGTCATTCAGATGATGAAATGTCACAAAACATGGGCCTTTTACCTTGTAAAGTGCTCTGTTAGAAAAGTGCCAAGCAGGGGCTGCAGAGATGGCTTAGTGGTTAAGAACACTGGCTGCTCTTCCAGAGGGCCTGAGTTCAATTCCCAGCAACCACATGGTGGCTCACAACTATCTGTAATGGAATCCAATGCCCTCTTGTCCCACTTAGGAGGCAGAGGCAAATGAATCTTTGTGTGTTCCAGGCCAGCCTGATCTACAGAGTGAGTTCCAGGACAGCCAGAGCTACACAGAGAAACCTTGTCTCGGAAACAACCGACAGAAAAGCTGCAGGCGCAAAGCTCCTTGGACCAACGCTTGCCCTCTCAGAAGCTGATGCACACTGACCTAGCCGCCACCTTCAACCTAATGGTGGGTGAGGCAGCCAGTTCAACAGCAGACGGACACCAAGCGGCATTACCTGTGCCTCCAGCCACATCGAGCAGTTGGGTCCCGGGCAGTGGGTTCATTTTCCTGATGAGCAAGTCCTTCCAAGCACGATGGATGCCCAGACTCATCATGTCATTCATCAGATCGTACTTCTTGGCCACGCTCTCAAATACCTGGTAAACTGGTGCAGGCAGACACGCCGTGAGCAACAGGAACAACTTGGGGTACAGGACAGACACACTGTGAGCAACAGGAACGACTTGGGGTACAGGACACGCTGTGATCAACAGGAGAGACTTGGGGTGCAGGACACGCTGTGATCAACAGGAGTGACTTGGGGTGCAGGACAGACACGCCGTGAGCAACAGGAACGACTTGGGGAAATGTAAATGAAGACAACAAAGGGGGATTTTCCCTATTGAAAGTGCTTATCTTAGCATGGTGATGCTAAGTCAAAATGTTCCAGGCCCAAGATACATCTTAACATTACGTTTCCCCCTCTTGTGCTGCTGGAGACTGAATCTAGGGCCTTGCACACAGCGGGCAAGAACCCTATCAGAGAGTGACTTCCTCAGCCCTCTACACCACTTTGTATCAAAAGGATTAAAAGTCCACAAAAGAAATCAACCTCTTGCCGGGCAGTGGTGTCTCACGCCTTTAATCCCAGCACTTAGGAAGGAGGCAGAGGCAGGCGGATCTCTCAGTTCGAGGCTAGCCTGGTCTACAGAGTGAGTTCCAGGACAGCCAGGGCTACACAGAGAAACCCTGTCCCCATTCTGTGACTCACTATGAAAATAGGAGGGCCAGGTGGTGGTGCACACCTTCAGTCCCAGAACTCAGGGGAGGCAGAGGCAGGCGGAGCGCTCTGAGTATGAAGCCAGCCTGGACGACAGTGAGCTCCAGGACAGTCAAGGCTACACAGAAAAACCCTGCCTAGAAACGAACCAACAAAAAAAGACAGACAGGAAAGCATAAGTATGTGCCGTAATCAGGGACCAGTTACATCATCTGCTTTATAGACCGTTTACACCCAGGCAAGAGCACAACACTTCTACTGTTTCCTGGTCTCTTGGTGACAAACCCAGGATGTATACTTAGAGAAATGACAGCGGAAACTGAGTAACAAAAAGAGAGAGAGGGCCAGGGAATGAGGGTGGAGACCATGACTGAATGACCGAAGCCCGAAGCCCGGGACTTAATCCCCAGTCCTGCAACGAACGAAAACCAAGCAAACAAGAACAGCAACAAAGAACACATCCCCCCTGGTGGGAGGACCCTTGTCAGTGTGGCAACATGAGGAACAGGTGACTGGGTACACGGCAGAGGAACCCAGTGAGTGAGGGTGAAGTCTCTAACCTAGGGGAGGCGTAAGGATTCTGCCAGTCAGGTTCAAGGTGTTCCAGAGGAAGAAGTGGCAGGAAACAAAAAATCACAGGGCCAGGGAGATGGCTCAGTGGGTGGAGCATTCCAGGCCTGAAGATGTGAGTTTGAGGCCCAGGACTCACACGGCAAAGGAGAAAACTGACACCTGCATTGTCATCTGTCCTCACAAAGCTCTCAGACACACACACACACACACACACACACACAAATATCAAATATAATAGACATAATAGACATTTTTAGAATTTCTATTCAGGAGGTTTTTGGAGGTGTTTCATGATGTGGAAAGCACTGGGGCTAGAAGCTGACCAAGCTACCTCTCCAGCCTCCCAGTGAAAGCTTAAGAAGGGATTAATCTGTCAAGTCCTAGGAAACATGCTCCTAGGAGCTCCAGGACAAGGGAAGAATGTGTTCAGATCACTCCTGCTACATTTTTAAACAAAAATAAAACAATATCACGCCCCTCAAAACTGTAATTTTTCCTAGAATTTTGTTGTTGTTGTTGTTTTGTTTTTTCAAGACAGGGTTTCTCTGTGTAGCCCTGGCTGTCCTGGAACTCACTCGGTAGACCAGGCTGGCCTCGAACTCAGAAATCCGCCTGCCTCTGCCTCCCAAGTGCCGGGATTAAAGGCGTGCGCCACCACCACCCGGCTTTTCTTAGGATTTAAACTTTTAAACCAAAATTAAGAACTGTTAAAACGTTAGCGAAATCCCATCTGTTGGGCTTTTCAAAATACATTAATTCTTATTTTATGTGTATGAGTATTTGCCTGCATGTATGTCTGTGTGCCACATGTGTGCCTGGTGCCCATGGAGGCCAGAAGAGGCCTTCAGACCCCTTGGAAGTGATTCTAGTCCGTGGTTCTCAATCTCCTAATGCTGGGACCCTTACAGTTCCTCACGTTGTGGTGACCCGCAACCATAAAATTCTTTTCATTGCTACTTCATAATTCATAAGAGGAGTTTTGCTAGTGGTGTGAATCATAACGTAAGTATCTGTATTTTCTGATGGTCTTAGACGACCCCTGTGAAAGGATGGCTCGACCCCAAAAGGGTCAAACATTGTGCTATTATAGACGATCGTGAACCATCACATGAATGCTAGGAATACAGGTGCTTGCAGCTGCTAAGCTTGTCTGTGTTGTTTGTTTGTTGTTTTTTTTTTTTTTTTTTAGGAAAGGTTTTTAACTTGTGATCCTACTGATTATAAGCATGGCACTACATTTAGCAGATAGTTTTGGTGTTTTATGTTTTTAATTTTTTTGACATAGGGTCTCACTGTGTAACTCTGGCTGTCCTGGAACTCAAACTTACTACATAGACAAGGCTGGCTTTGAACTCACAGAGATCTGCCTTTCTCTGACACACACACACACACACACACACACACACACACACACACACAGGGAATAGTGTTTCTTGTGGAGAGCTTTTGGGGCTGCTTGGCAGGAATCTGACATTGGGCCATGACAAGGAAGTAAGTGCAGGAATCTAATTTTAGGCTAAAACAGATAAGTTCAGGCAGGAATCTAATTTTAGGCTAAAACAGAGAAGTAAGTTCAGTCAGGAATCCAAGTCTTAGGCTAGAACAAAGAAGTAGGCCTCAGGCATGAATATGACTGTGGGCTAGGACAGGGAAGTAGGCTCAGATATTTTTGTCATCCTGATGAGCCCTTAGAAACAGTGATTATAAGAGTAATCTCGGGACTTTGTATATTGCCTTGTTTGTTCCTTGACTGTTTGTATCTATTGTATTGTTGGTTCCTCAACCTAGAACTGACCTAAATACTTGCATGTAATTAAAAGGGTTTAAAAGAAAAGTGGGAATAAACAGACCTGCCTTCAGCCTCAGGACTGGCTGGGGTCATGCTGCAATTTTGTCTAATCGTTTCTTTTAATCCTCACTCCTGCGCTGGAGAACTGTTGACTGACTGAGCGGGCTTGGTCAGGTTCTTTTAGTAAGAAAATAAGAATGTGTCGCACACCTTTAGTCCCAGCACTTGGGAGGCAGAGGCAGGCAGATTTCTGAGTTCCAGGCCAGCTTGGTCTACAGAGTTCCAGCACAGCCAGGGCTACACAGAGAAACCCTGTCTCGAAAAACCAAAAAAAATAAAAAATAAAAAAAAAATAGTAGTTCTTGTTCTTGGGCTGGAGAGATGGCTCAATGGTTAAGAGCACAGACTGCTCTTCTAGAGGTCCTGAGTTCAATTCCCAGCAACCACATAGTGGCTCACAATAACGGAACCCAATGACCTCTTCTGGTGTGTCTGAAGACAACTATAGTGTATGTTAGTACTCTGTTTAAACTCCACCTCCACAGTTATCTGGCAACACCCAGGTATGCTCCTCCCCACAGTTGCCTGGCAAAAGCCAGGTAGACCTGCCCACTATAAAAGGGGCTGCTTGCCTCCTCTCTCCTGCTCTCTTGCTTCTAGCTCCTCTCTATCCCCTCACCTCTCCCCCTTCCCTTCCCCCTCTCTCCATGTGGCCATGGCTAGTCTCCACTTTTCTCTCTCTTTCTTTCTCTGCCATCTTCTCCCATTTCTCTCCCCTCACCTTTGCTCTCTGCCCTGAATAACGACCCCCCCCAACCGTTTGGTCTGGTGTTGTCTTTTCTAAGCTGTGCACAGAAGTCTAACAGTGTACTCATATACAGAGATTTTTTTTTCTTTTGGTTTTTCGAGACACAGTTTCTCTGTGTAGCCCTGGTTGTCCTGGAACTCACTCTGTAGGCCAGGCTGGCCTCAGAAACTCAGAACTCAGGCAGAGGCCTGCCTCTGCCTCCCAAGTGCTGGATAAATCTTTTTTTTTTTTTAAAGAAAAGAATAGTAGTTCTCCCACTTACTAACAAATTTCTATGTATCTCTGTAGAGACAGGATCTCCCTGTCTGAGGCTGGCTTCAAATTCAAAGTCTAGTAGAGAGTTACCTTGAACTTCAAATCCTACTGCATACACCTCCTAAGCGCTGAGAACACAAGTTTACACCACCACACACAATTTATTTGGTGCTGGGAATAGAACTGAGCGGCAGGGAGTGACAGGCAAGCACTCTACGAATTGAGCCACAGTCCCAGCTCCTGGCTACCATTTTAAATTGTGCAAGTTCTTGCTTAACCTCAACTGTATATCTCCTCAGAAAAGCATTAACAACAGTCACTAGTGGAAAACTGAAGTGAGAAACGGGTGGGAAAAATGTCTACACGGCACCTGGCATATAGGACAATCTCACAGTTGATGAGGGTTAAGGGTCATACTGTGCTTAAAAGAGGAGCAGGCCGGGTTTGGTGGTGTTCGCCTTTAATCACAGCCCTCCAGAGGCAGAGGCAGGTGCATCTCTGTGAGTTCGAGGCTAGCCTGGCCTCCACATCAAGCTCCAGGGCAGTCAAGGTTACACAGCAGAGAGACACTGTCAAAAAAGGGGGCGTGGGAGTGGGCGCGTCGCCGGGTATAGCTGGGTCTGGGATGTAGATACTCCTTGGAAGTCAGGATTGTAAGACACACAGCTCTAGGGCCAACAGGGCATCAAATTAGCCCATAAAAGTGTCAAGGAAACCAGACAGAAGCCCGGCGATCGCTCCAGCCACCCTCTCGCCCTGTCACCTTTGCCTCCTTTCTCCTCCTCCGACACAGTCTCAAACCCGAAGTGCGTTTCCGCGGCTGGCTTCTCTTGGGACAAGGACCGCGCACTCAGCGTGGCCCATGGCCAGGATCTACGAAGCCCGAGGAGCCTGCCGTCCCCTGTTGCTCGCGACCACCCGCGGCAGCAGTAGCGCCATAGAACACAGCTCCTGGGCGCCGCCATCTTGATATCCCGGCGACCGTGGGCGGGGAAGAACGTCGGGTTGCGTCACCTGCCGGGTGACGGCTGCCGGCAGGAGACACATTAGTGGGACGGAACCTAAAACGCCTGTGTTTAAGAAGTTCCGCCTGGTTTGGGATTTGAAAACCTGAAAGCCTTTCTTGTGTTCCCCGACTGAATCTAGAGTTTACCAACAATAATCAGAGCTTATGAGGCGCTAATTATATTTTCAGCGGATAATATTTTCATCCTGCCAACCGGTAGTATTAGCTAGAACTGAGGACTACTATGGTAAAGACGACTCTACAGATCAGACTGGCCCGGAACTCGCAGAGATCCACCCAGGTGCTGCTGGAGTGCTCCCCAAAGCCCTGCAACTTTTGTTTTCTGGTGCGGGGCATGTTGTAGTTAAAAGACCAAGATTACGTGAAAAAATATATATAAAATATACATATAAAATATATACCTCCAAAGCCACCCCCCCGGGGGGGGGGCGGGGTATGTGTATGTGAGTGTAGGTGCCCGTGGAACCCAGAGGTGTCAGATATCTTAAAACTGTAGTTTTAAACTCTACACTAGTGCTTTTTTTTTTAATGTATTTAATTTTTTGTTTGTTTGTTTTTTGAGACAGGGTTTCTTTGTGTAGCCCTGACTGTCCTGGAATTTGCTCTATAGACCAGGGTGGCCTAGCACTCAGAAATCTGTCTGCCTCTGCCTCCCAAATGCTGGGGAGAATTTTCTTGTGTCTTTTTGGTGTGTGAGCGTGTGCATGTTCTCACGTGCAGGCATGCCCATGCCAAGGTCCATGTATGGAGGTCAGGAGATGTCTTTCCGGAAGGGGTCAGTTTTCCAGGGCCCTGGGAATTGAACTCAAATCTTCAGGCTCACAAAGCAAGCACTTTGACCTACTGAGCCACCTTGCCAGCCCTTATCTTTTGAGATAGGGTTTCACTAAGTTGGCAAGGCCTGGAACTCACTTTGTCACCTGGACAGGCTTTGAACTTTTGATCTTTCTGGTAGGTGACATTAAAGGCCTGTATCACTAGGTATGGCCTCTTTTTGGTTTAATTTGATTTTATTTTTTTATGGAAATGATAACATATTACCAACCATCTTGTGCAAGAGCAAGTACAGAGGTGCTGAATTTTGCTTGAATTTCTGTTTCTGTTTTAAATCCCCCTTTTAAATGTATATTTTCTGTAAATATTTCACAAGGAGAAGTGCCAAGGATCCTAAGAAAGAAAATCTGAAATGAAGAGTGTCTTCTCCGTTCAATATAGCCTGACAGATGGACATCTCCTGCATTGGGAGTCTTTTCCCTTTGCTTCTATTTTTATCAATGACAGAAGGACGAAATTATTCATCCACATGCTTAGTATTCTTGTGTCTTCGCTACGTGAAATAAAGTTTCACCACAGCATTTTAGAGCTCCCTGCACTTCTATTTATATATAAGAATAGACCTTAGGATATCACATTTCATATTTCATTTTCCAACTGAGGCGTTCTCTCTCTCTCTCTCTCTCTCTCTCTCTCTCTCTCTCTCTCTCTCTCTCTCTTTCTTTCTGTGTGTGTGTGTGTGTGTGTGTGTCTTAGTCAGGGTTTCTATTCCTGCACAAACATCATGACCAAGAAGCAAGTTGGGGAGTAGAGGATTTATTCAGCTTGCACTTCCACATTGCTGTTCATCTATGAAGTAAGTCAGGACAGGAACTCACACAGGGCAGGAACCTGGAGGGAGGAGCTGATGCAGAGGGCATGGAGGGTGCTGCTTACTGGATTGCTTTCCCTGGCTTATTCAGCTTGCTTTCTTATAGAACCCAGGACCACCAGCCCAGGGATGGCTCCACCCACAATGGGCCCTCCCACTCTTGATCACTGAGTAAGAAAATGTCTTACAGCTGGATCTCATGGAGGTATATCCTCAAGGGAGGCTCCTTTCTCTGTGATAACTCCAGCTATGTCAAGTTGACACAAAAAACTAGCCAGTACAGTGTGTGTGTGTAAAACTGAAGAATAAAGAAACCTGGACATAATGGTGAAACTCTGTAATCCCAGCTACTTGGGATGCTGAGGCAGGATAATTCCAAATTCTAGGCTAGCATTGACAACACAGTGAGACCCTGTCTCAAAATAAAAAGCAGGAAACAGATTGAAGTTTAATCTTTGCCTAGCATGTCCAAGGCCCTAATAAATTCAATACCTGCTATCCCTTGCCACATACAAACAGAAGCATGAAATCAAACAAGACGTGGTTATTTGGGAGGCCAAGGCAGGAATATTAAGGCTATGAGGCCAGCCTTGGCTACATAGCAAGACTTTGTCTTAAAAACAAACAAAAAAAAGGGCAGTCTGCTTTGGTGGTGGCGTACACCTTTGAACCCAGCACTCAGGAGACAGACGGGTGAAGCGTGAAGCCAGCCTGTTCTACAGAGTGAGTTCCAGGGCAGTCAGAGCTTCATAGAAGAAATGCTGTCTCTGAAAAACTAAAAAACCGAAAGACTAAACAAAACAACAACAAATTTTAAAAATCCAAAAAATAAAAACATTTCCCCCTGAAGAGCCCTCCACCAACTCCTGTCTGTCTTTCCACGCCCCTCCCTTCCCCCAGCTGGGGTCGAACCCAGGGCTCTCTTGCATGCTTATGTGCACTCTACCACTGACAACCTCTGTGCCCTGTTTTATTTTGTTTTTCCAGGCAGGGTATCTGTGTGTATCCCTGGCTGTCCTGGAACCCACTCTGTAGAGCAGGCTGGCTTTGAACTCAGAGATTCAGATCCACCTATCTCTGCCTCCTGTGTGCTGGGATTAAAGGAGTGCTCCAGCACAGCAGCCAGGCCATTTATTTTTATTTTATGTGTATGACTGTTTGGCCTCCCTGTATGCTAACGGCCGCCATGCACGCCTGGTGTCCTCGGAGGCCAGTAGGGGGCGCCAGACATCTGAAACTGGAACTAGAAATGGTTGTGAGCCATCCAATGTGGATGCTGGTAACCAAATCCCAACTGCAAAAGGAGAAAGTGCTCTGGGCCACTGCGCATCTCTCCAGCCTCATTACAGGGGAATCTTTCTAAGGGATACTTGTAGGCTCGTGCGATGGTCCAGAGTATAAAGGTGCTTCCTGCCGACTTGAATTTCATCCTGGTAGGAAAGAATTGAGTTCCACAAATTATCCTCTTACTGTACATGTTATTGTACATGTGAACCATGGCACATCTCCCCGCGCGCGCGAACACACACACACACACACACACACACACACACACACACACACAGAGAGAGAAAGAGAGAGAGAGAGAGAGAGAGAGAGAGAGAGAGGAAATAAACAAATACAACAATTTTAAAAGCCCTTTTATTGGTTATGGTGGTAGGTATACACCATTAATTCCAGCATTCAGAAGACACAAGGGGGTGGATCTTTGTAAGTCTAAGGCCAAACTGGTTCTATAGCGAGTTCCAGACCAGCCAGGACTAAAAAATGAGATCCTGTCAAAAACAAAAACAAACAAACAAACAAACAAACACAAAACCAAACTCTCTGGGGGCTGGTGATGAAAGGAAAGTAGCACTCAGCCCCCCCACCCCCAAGACCAAGTTCTCAGTAGAAAGGAGATTTATTTGCCCCAGAGGGACAGAGGGCAGGGATAAGGGACAAAACAGGAGATAGAGGAAAATGGAGAAGGGGAGGCAACAAAGAAGAGGAGAGAAAGGGGGCACAGGAGAGGGGGAGGAGCATTTGTACTGGAGGACAAAGGATTGCCTCTGGATAGAGAAGAGACAGAGGTGGCACATAGGAAAATAGCAGTTTATAGAGGTACAGGGGGAAACCCCATATTAGGATGAGATGTGTAATTTTAACTGGAAGTGTTAATTAGGTGAAACAAAGGACACTTCTGATTTCTTTCTTTTTTTTTGAAAGATTTATTTTATGTATGTGAGTACACTGTAGCTGTCTTATTCTTCTTCTTTTTTGTTTTGTTTTTTTTTTTTTTTTGAGACAGGGTTTCTCTGTATAGCCCTCGCTGTCCTGGAACTCACTCTGTAGACCAGGCTGGCCTAGAACTCTCAAATTCAGAAATCCGCCTGCCTCTGCCTTCCAAGTGCTGGGACTAAAGGCATGCGCCACCACTTCCCGGCCTGTAGCTGTCTTCATACACACCAGAAGAAGGCATCAGATCTCATTACAGATGGTTGCGAGCCACCATGTGGTTACTGGGAATTGAACTCAGGACCTCTGGAAGAGCAGTCAGCGCACTCAATTGCTGACCTATCTCTTCAGCCTCCCCCCCCCACCCCGCCACCAAATTATACTTGTATGGATCTCCATGTCACTTTACACTGTGATTCCTTCCATACTAAATAATATCTCATATACTATATGGTAATAAGGAACCAAACAGGGTCTGATTCCAGCTATTTTTTAAGGACAGGGTCTCACTCTGTATTCCCAGCTGACCTGAAACTTAGATCTACATGCCTCTGCTTCAAGATGTCTTTTTACTATTTGTAAATTATGTGTACACATTTGTACCTGTGTGTAGGTCTCCGCATATGAGTGCAGGTGTCTCTGCAGACTAAGAGGGCGTTGGATCCTCTGGAGCTGGAGTTCCAGGTGGTTGTGAGCTGCCTGACTTAGGAATGGAACTCCGTTCCTCTGGAAGAACCGTGCCGTCTCTCAACCGCTCATCTCTCCAGCTTCTGACCCCACACATTCTTGTTTTCCCCCTATGATACTGGGGAGCAAATCAGAACTTTGCTCATGCAAGGGCCCTCCCACTAAGCTACACAGTCTGCTTTTACTCCTTTTCTCTTTTAGGTCTCACTATGTAGCACAGGTTAGCCTTACACTCTGCATTTCCTACCTCTGGTTCTTTTTCTTTTCCTTTTTTTTCAGTTTTATTTTGACAGGATTTTTCTGCGTAGCCCTAGCTGGCCTTGAACTCAGAAATCTGGGATTAAAGATGGCACCACTGGCATGGGGCTCCTGTCTCTATTTCTTGAGTATTGGAAC